GCGGAGCAGGAGGAGGAGGAGGAGGAGGAGGAGGAGGAGGAGGAGGAGGAGGAGGAGGGGGATGATGATGATGATGAGGAGGAGGAGGAGGGGGAGGAGGAGGAGGAGGAGGAGGAGGAGGGGGGAGGAGGAGGAGGAGGAGGAGGAGGAGGAGGAGGAGGAGGATCGATCGATCACTCACTTGCGGAAGCTTGGACAGGGAGGGGATGGCACCGCCACAAGCACCATCCTCGGGGCTGCTCTGCACGCAGGAAGACGAGGAGGAGAAGGAGGAGGAGGAGGAGGACGAGGAGGAGGAGGAGGAGAACGACGACAACGACGACGATGACGACGAAGAGGAGGGGGTGCGGGAGGACGGATTGAGCTATCGCAGCGGTGCAACGCAGCATGCTTAAACTTAAGCTCCACTTATACCCATTGTGCGGTGCGTGGCCATCGGGCCGCTGGCCTCCGCGAGCCCCGCAGGTGTCGCGCCACTCCGGCCCTTCCTCGCCTCCTCGCTCGGATGTAGGAAGTAGAGGCGGCTAGAGCGCGGTCAGGGGGAGGGAGGGAGGGAGGGAGGGAGGGAGGAAAGGAGGGAGGGAGGGAGGGAGGGAGGGAGGAGCAGGAGGAAGAGGAGGAGGAGGAGGAGGAGGAGGAGGAGGAGGAGGATGAGGATGAGGAGGAGGAGGAGGAGGAGGAGGAGGAGGAGGAGGACGAGGAGGAGGAGGAGAAGGGGCACATGTATAATACGTCGCCGCGCCGTTTGTTCGGAACGCGCCCAAGTAGACAAAGCCGGCCTCGCGGCAAACTCCCGGCAACCTGTGCGTCCGAGGCGGCGGTTGCCCTGGTGGCCGCGGCGCCCGCCTTACGTGAAACGTGCGGCGCGACGACATGAATGTAGGGGATCGAGATGAGGGAAGCGGAGGGAGTGAGGAGAGTGGAGGGAGGGAGAGGAGTGGAGGGAGGAAGAGGAGCATAAGGAGGACGGGGAGGAGAGCACGGGGGAGCCCGCGGGGACGAGGGGGGGTGGGGGAATTGGTGGGAAGAGGACGAGCAAGGGAGAGGATTCCCCTCTCGAAGCTGAACGACCGGGAAAAACGGAAGCGATGCGTTGCCACGCAACAAAAATAACAGTCACGCTCGCATCTTTTTCCCCGCCCTCCAGTGTTGGGTTCGTGTTTTGAATCGAGGACTGTGGTCGCGTTTCACCTCCGCGTCCCCCTCCTCTTCTCTCCTGCCTCGTATCTCTTCTCTCCTGCCCTCTCTTTTTTCTTCTGACCCTCCTGTGTTAGGGTCTCGTTTTGAATAGAAAAAATGGTCGAGTCTCCTTCTCTCCTCTCCTCTCCACCTCCTCCTCCTCCTCCTCCTTCCATTCCTCCTCTCTCGTGCCTCCTATCTCCTCTCTCCGCACACGCAGCTGAAACCTCGCGGCTCCCTGGGGGGCTGCGAAATTTGAAACCGTCGCCACTTGCGTGGGCTCCTGGGAGGTCGCGCGGGGTGTAATTGCATCGGGATCCAACTGAAACCTCGCGGCTCCCTGAGGGGCTGCGGAGCGTGCAACTGTCGCCGCTTTGGGGGGTTCCTGGAGGTTGCGCGGAGTGGAGTTGCACTGGGACCCACTTGAAACCTCGCGGCTCCCTGGGGGGTTGCGAAGTTAAAAAATGTCGCCACGTTCGTGGGCTCCTGGGAGGTCCAACGGTGGAGTTGTACAGGGATCCCGTCGAGACCTTGCGGCTCTCTGGAGGGCTGTGAAATGTAAAACTGTCGCCACTTTCGTGGGTTGCTGGGAGGTCGCGCGGAGTGGACTTGCACGGGGACGCCCACTTGAAACCTCGCGGCTCCCTGGGGGGCTGCGATCTGTAAAATTGTCTCCGCTTTCGTGGGCCCCTGGGAGATCCAGCGGACTGGAGATGCTCGGGGATCCCGTCGAGACCTCGCGGCTCCCTGGGGAAACTGTCGCCACTTTCGCGGGCTCCTGGGAGATCCAGCGGAGAGGACTTGTACGGGGACCCAGTTGAACCTCGCAGAAGCGTGAAACTGTCGCCACTTTCGTGGGCTCCTGGGAAGTCGCGCGGAGTGGAGAGGTATGGGGATCCCGTCGAGACCTCGCGGCTCCCCGAGGGGCTGCCAGATGCGCAACCGTCACCACTTTCGTGAACTTCAGGAAGGGTCCAGCGGAGACGGTAGTCACGCAGATCTCATCGAGACCACGCGTCTCCCTGGGGGGGCTGCGAAATGCGTGACTGCCGTCACGTTCGTGGGCTGCTTGCGACAGCAAGCGAGTTCGCGGCAGTTGTCGCCGGCTCTTCACAGGCGCAGGCGCCGACGATAGATGCAACTGACGTCGACTACTCGCATCCCCCCCAAAAAAGAACTCTCATAACGCGCGGCGATGTCCCGTCACGCAGCGCTCGGCGCAGTCGCATCGCATCTCGCAGGGAACCGCTGCGCCACGCAGCACATAGCGCTGTTTTTGTCCGCGCGGCCTATCATCCTCAGCTGCCACTGGCCCGCCATGCCACCCCGCGAGCATGCCTCGCACAGCGCGACGCGCTGGTCTGCTATAGAGCGCATGGCACTGTTCTGCCCCGCGTATGCAGCGCTTGGCGCTATTGCTGTTACTGAACATGTATGTCCCCCTCTCACCTCTCACCCTCCTCAGTATGCTTCTGTGCTTCCGTCTCCGTCCGTATCTTGGTATTCCTGCATGTTTTTGTGTACTTCTGAGAGTTCATGCGCACTGCGGGCCCTTCAACATGTTTGTTTGTATTGAGCGGACCTCAATCGATTCGCAAAATGTTCAGGCAGGGTTGGGTACGTCACTGGGTAATTTCCACCCAAGGCACAAGCGGAACGCTCTCGGCGAGAGGCGCAGCTGCTGGAACGCATCCCGAGGCAAGCCTGTAAGAACAGACGATGACGCCCGACAACTCGCCTATCGCAGCAATCCAGGTGGAGACAACGGCACCAGTCTTCCGAGGGGCGTGCAGCCGTGGCAACGAGGGAGCCCTCCGAAAGCCAACTGTGTCGCTGTCTAAACCGGCCCTCCTCTCAGCTCCTCGGCGACGAACGGCAACGAAAACGCGGCGGCGACGGCGACGACGAGACCAGCGAGGGACCTGCGAGAGGCGCTCCCGCGCGGGCGCGAGCGCGCCCGCGCGTGGGCCGTCGACCACTGCGCCGGTGGGCACGAAGCACGGCGGCGCTCCACGGCGGGCTCGGGGCGCCACCTCAAGCAGCGGAGCTCCTCCGCCTCCCCTCTGGTCCTCGTGCTGGTCCTCCCCGTAGTCCTCACATGCCCCCTGAGACCCGGGCGTTGTATGTTTTCTTTCGGGGGCGCTGTGGTCAAAAAGGGGGGGGGGCGACCGCGAATCGTCGGGTCGCCCGGTCGCTGGGTCGCCAGGGTCGCCGTCGCCCGGTCGCCAGGTGGCTGGGTCGCTGGGTCGCCGGCCCTTTCTCTCCTGTGTTGTCTCGCGCCGTGCGTTTTCGCGCGGTTTCGGGCTCCAGGGCCCTCACATATCGATCTGGCTCAGAAACGTTGTTTTCAGATGTTGTTTTTTCTGCGACGTTGGCCCTCGAAACCCTCCCCGCGATATCTCCGACTATATGATTTTGTCCCCGCCGCCCCCCCGCGACAGTTTTCCTGGCGGCCGTTTTCGGGCTCAGGGGCTCAGACACAGATTTTTCGTCTGATTTTGGACCAGAGGATTTGCTAACTTGCCCGGCGGACGCCGCCAAGGACTACACCAGAGGATATATATATATATATATATATATATATATATATATATATATTGACCATTGAAAAATAAAACAAATAAAAAAAAGGCTCAGGGGCAATCGAACATGGATCTGGGCAAGGGGTCGGGCAAGGGGTCGGGACCCTCCCCCGGGCAAGGGCAAGGGGTCGGGACCTCTGGGGCCGCGCGTGCAGACATTCCCATCGTCGGACGTGTGGGTGGATAGCCGCCTGCACGCAGGGCGACCCGTGGGCAGCAGTGGCCGTTGGGTACGCGGCCTGCCGATCCGTGCGTGCGTCGAGGCTGCCCCGAGGGCCGAAGTGGCGAAGCAACGGCGGCATCGCGGAAGATCACCACCTCCCGAGCCTCCAGGACGGCGAGGCAGACAGCCAGGGCCACCAAGGTGGCCCAAAATACCTCCACGACGGCCTAAGATACCCCCAAGACGGCCCACGAGGGCCACACGGGCAGGGCCCGAAGATGCCGAAAGCAGTGATTCCCTGAGGGTTTTGCAATACCAAGGCTTCTTCACCTGTTCGGGCTTGCTTTTCAGCTCAAGAGGGCCCAGAGGCCTCCACGATGGCCCCAAGACAGCCCAGAGCCCTCGACCCATGTGGGGCTAGGGTCCTGCAGGGCCATGATGAACAACACTCTGTCCCCCCGCGAGAGTGTGTTTTGAGGGCCCCGCATCCCAGGGACATTTCCTTGTCAACTGCCCCCACATGGCTGCGGAAAATCGCTGTCGAGTAAGAACTCGGTGGAAAAAGGTGCAACCTCTCCAAACGCTGTGGAAAAAGCCTATGTCGGAGCACCCCGCGCAACACACGAACACACATAACACATTAGAACGCTGAACGCATGTTTTGGGCACGTTCGCCTTGGTATCGTATGAGGCTCTTGTTGACCCATCCCAGGCACGATGATGACTGAAGGTCAGAAACTGTGGGGGGTCAGGTGGATGTGGCCGTTCAGAAATTGGCGGCCCGTAGGGGGGCAGGTGGACGTGTTCGCTACAGAGCATGGGTCAGGGGCTTGTTGTTACTCCCTTGCTGCACCATCACAACCTCGCACGGCGGTCCGTTACCTCGTATAGAGTACACCTGTTGCAAACCGAATTGCACGACTGCTGCCATATACGCACTGCAGCAACATACCCTCCGAGGCCTCCTATTACAGCCGATGCCCAGTCATTGCCTCTACACCTCCACTCCCTCCAGAGCCCGCCTGCTTACACAGCCCAACACTGAACGCCAACACCGACCCTGCTGCTAATTACCT